CAAAGTCACCAACTGCATTTTAAATTTCATGAGAGAACAAAAAACAGACTGAAGCGTCAGAGTCCCAACCACATTGCTAGAGAACTGTACAGACAGCACCAAGATCTGCTTGAAAGAGATGTTACACTGTGCGAAAAACTTAGGCCAGAACCATGGATAAGAAAGCCAGAGAAGGCAAATGTAGTCCTAAAAGTACCAGGGATCACTTCAAAAAGATGCCCAGACGGAGACACAACAGAGAACCCTGGCACTTGCTATGCTTGATGAGAAGTATCCAAACACCACTTTGACTCAGGTTTTCACCGACGGCTCTGCCTGCTACAGATGCAGTCAGAAAGGGGGATTGTGGATTATACATTAAACCCCCTAGCAGTAGAGCAGAAACTCTCTCTCTACCAGCAGGTGACATCTGCACTAACTTCAGATCTGAGGCAACTGCCCTCCTTTCTGCAGTCCAACAGCTCATCACTCAAGAACACAGAGGGCACCAAATTGTTATACTTAGTGACTCATTGTCTGTTCTCCAGGCACTATCAAGCAATAAACAAGACAAACTAATTGCAGATCTAAGGACCAACACTGGCTTAGTCTCCAAGGAAGCAGAACTGGTCTTGCAGTGGATACAGCCCACTGTGGTATTCAAGGAAATGAGAGAGCAGATGAGTTGGCAAAAGCTGGGAGTAATCTTCCACAACCTCATTCACCACACAGCTACAAGGAAACCAAAACAGCGCTAAAGCAGTCTTTTAAGATGGAGTGGAGAAAGCAGAATGGAGATTACAGACCAGAGAGTGGCAGCATAAACAAACTCAACAAAAAAGAACAAACAACAATTTTTTTTACCTCGGACAGGACACTGTGGTCTTCGAGCACACCTGTACAGGATAGGCATAAAAGAATCTGCTGCCTGTGATTGTGGAGCAGAAAGACAGACCCTTGAGCACATACTGCAGTAATGCCCTAACCTCTCCCAGCAAAGACTGTGGATCAGGCCCAAGGAAGCCACATTGAAAGAGAAGCTATGGGGGACCGGTGGCGACCTTAAACGCACAATCTTATTTGTGACCCAGACGGGACTCAATGTTTAGCATGACTGATGTCAAACGCAGAAGAAGAAGACCACATAGCACTAAACCAGACCACATATCACTAAACTAGACCACATACCACTAAACTAGACCACATATCACTAAACTAGACCACATATCACTAAACTAGACCACATATAGATCAAGATGATGACGACCACTCTTTTTCATCAAGTATGAGTACGAAGACGACTGATGAGGCCGATGCGTGCCCGAAAAGCTCTTGGACAGTGTGTACACGAAATGAGCATTGTGCCAGGGAGGGGACCTGTAGTCGCCTTTCTGTATATCCTTTTCTTAATCAGCCTTGCTGTTCTGTTTGCTTCACATGTAGCCGCGCCCTTGTGTAAAGTTGCACGCCTTGCATTTCGGTCTTGAGAGGCAGCCACCCAATTGGGATGAAACTTGACCAACGACCGCTAAATTATACCACATACCATTAAACTAGACCACATACCACTAAACTAGACCACATACAACTAAGCCACTGAACTTAAAATTACCTAGCGAAATCACAAACAGCCAAACGCAACCCAAAAAAAAAAAAAAAAATGCTGGGGTTGGTTCTAAAATGTCCTGTAACTTTTGTAAGCTTATGACACATCGGGTTGAACGATACTTGTCTGAAGTAAGTTAAAGAAATTAAATATCTAGGAAGTATATTCTCGTCTAACAGGAGATTAGATCAGGAAATAAAAAACAAGATGTCAACGAGCCAGTGCAGTTATATACCAAGCGAAATCGTTAGGAAGACATCCACACACAAGTATGAGCACCAAGAAACAGATTATAAACAGCATATTCATACCAACACTGTGCTACCAGTGCCAGACTTGGACACTATCAAAGACTAGCCTATGTAAAATTAACAGCAGCAAAAAAATTCATTGAGAAACAAAAGATCAAATAATTTGGTCATCTAGCAAAATTGACCCCAGAACAACTACCAACGCAAGGCGCTACATACAAGGTCCGACAATTAAGTAATGAGACTGATTTTATTATGGCCAAGACAAAAATGCCATCTATGAAGCACGGAATCTAAAGAGGATACATTCATCTATGATCTGTCAAAATTTTCATCGCCGCTCTATAAGCAGATAACAAACAACCCGCCTTTTTGACCTAGTCAGAGGTGTATTGTTAGGTAATCAGCACGCAGCAAAAAGCTAATATTAAATTCTTTTTAAAACTCTGAAAAAGCGCCACTGAAACACGTTTATGGGGATAATTGTTTATCTCGTGCATAAATTTGCAGGTGGTATTCACGATTAAAAAGTGGTGTGGAAACGATTTTTAATGCACCTAGACCTGGACGCCAAATTTCTGTTCGTAATGATGAACTCATCGCAAAAGTCAGAGAACGGAAACAAGAAGATCATTATTTTATTGTGAGGATGATGGCAGATTAATTCTGGAGTTAATAGATAGATTCATAACATTTTAGTACAAGATTTTATCAAGAAAAAAAAGTTTCTGGTCGGTTTGTACCACATTTATTGTCTGTTGACCAAAAACATCAGCGGGTTGAGTACCTAAGAATTTTTGTTTGTCCACTTCTGGACTCTAGTCCTTTTCCTAAACCTGAGTGTTGCGTGTACATCCACTTCACAGGACTGATTCATCTGCATGCAGACTGTTGGTTCCTTCCTCTCAGGCAGATGTACTCCGACTTCAAAGAAAGCTACTAATTAGTCGACTTTTACGATATGCGTTTGGGCAGGCAGTGGGTCTATTCTTGTTTTCCCCCACAATGAGGCCACGGAACCCACACGGGGGCAGACGATAATGTTATATACATGTGCTATGAGGTGTTGTGGGATTCACAGTAGATGGCGATGGTGAGTGTGACTAGCAAGACCCATTAGCCTTAAGAAACTATACTAGATTTTAACATTATGACGGTGCCAGTTTACCTCCCTTAGAACTACATAATCCTGGCATTATAACAGGACAAACAGTCATGCCAGAGAATACATTCCAACATGGCAACGTCTGTGATCTTCAGACAGTGCTTCAAATGAAAACCTTTAAATCCTCGTGTGGGTTTTGTGGCCCTTTTGTAGGAAAAACAAGAGCAGACCCACTGCCTACCCAAAAGCATGTCGTAAGAGTCGACTAATTGGGAGCTTCCTTTGAAGTCTGAGTGCACTTGCCTGAGAGGCAAGGAACCAACAGCTGCATGCAAATGAATGATATATGTAGAACGGATGCACACACAACACCCACATTCTGGGAAAAGACTAGAAGTGGACGAACAACCAGAACTTTTCGCCGGAGTTTACAGCCGGTGAACATGAAAAAAAAAAAAGAATAAAAAAAAAAAAGAAGAAAAAAAAAAAAAGAAGAAGAGAAGAAAGAAGAAGAAGAAGAAGAAGAAGAAGAAGAAGAAAGAAGAAGAAGAAGAAGAGAAGAAGAAGAAGAAGAAGAAGAAGAAAACAGGAAGAAGAAGAAGAAGAAGAAGAAGAAGAAGAAGAAGAGAAGAAGAAGAAGAAGAAGAAGAAGAAGAAGAAGAAGAAGAAGAAGAAGAAGAAGAAGGAATAAGAAGAAGAAAGAAGAAGATAAGAAGAAGAAGAAGAAGAAGAAGAAGAGAAGAAGAAGAAAGAAGAAGAAGAAGAAGAAGAAGAAGAAGAAGAAGAAGAAGAAGAATCAGAAGAAGAAGAAGAAGACGAAGAAGAAGAAGAAGAATCAAGAAGAAGAAGAAGAAGAAGAAGAAGAAGAAGAAGAAGAAGAAGAAGAAGAAGAAGAAGAAGAAGAAGAAGAAGAAGAAGAAGAAGAAGAAGAAGAAGAAGAAAAAGAAGACAACCTTAAACGTGTGCTAGAAATTACAATAACCATGCAAGAAGCAATCTGACACTGGACTCACTACAGCGTGCGCCTAACCCGGTCGTGAAGTGTGTCACAGAAGTAAGGCAGTTCTGAAACTTCCTACGCCACTCATAAATCTACTGGACAAACAGGCATGCACCACCATACTTGACCTTCATTCGCCGATGAATTTATAGAAGCTAATTACAAAAACGAAATAAAACAACGCTGCTCCTCTTCATTACATGTCAAAAGTAGGGCGGCCATCTTTAAACTGTCATTATCAGGTCACCGCATTCGTCTGCATACGTGATCAACACCCTTGACATCATTACCAACAACACTGACCAGTTTCAAGACAACGGCATGGTTAGCAAAATTTGTATCACACTTCTAGGGTGTTCATTTGAAGCCGCATGTACAAAGGAACTCGGTCGCAGCGTTAATTAATTAGCAGGGGTTATCTAAGCTTTTCTCGCCGTCTTCCCTTCCCGGGAAAAATCTCTGGTAATGAGTACACGAGACCAGGTTGATCCCAGATCCACGCGGGTTCCAAAGAAGAAAACACACGTCCCGCAGCCCGAGGTTAAAACCAGGCAGATGGCTCTGCTAATTTCCCCAATGGTTATTGTTTTACGACTCTGCTTTCTGAACTGCCTCAGCTCGCTGAAACATACCCATTTGTGACCTACCCGAGAGACTAGTGGATCAAAGAGAAACTCATTCACTGGAATTGATCAGAGGTCGGGAAAAATCATATAATAATAGTAATAATTATCAAGTGACTTGGGGATTGGAGTGGGCGACTGGGTTTCTTCATGTCTTCCGATCATTCAGTTTATGTATTATTACTATGTGTGGAAAAAGTCTTGGGAAGTAAAGTCGACTGCTGCAATGTTGACCACATCACACACCGAGTGCCGATCACTCCAGGAAATAAATGTTGCATTATGTGCCCAATATGCCTAAAGGTGTGTATACTAAGCAAGTTTCCGTAATACTGAACAGACCAGTCTCAACTGTCTTTTTTTTCCGTTATTTTTTTATTATATCACTGCAGAATAGACCATGACACAATTCCATATCCTGCCACAGGAAAAATGAATGCTCCCACAAGGGTTTCTCCAACAGGCCCGGTGTGAATCACAATGTGGACTTTCCGAAAGAGTTAACAGTGGCAGGTACAGACAGAGAAGAGGTCTTTTTCATAGCCCCAACAGGCCGGGTATAAATCACAGTGTGGTCTCTACCCAAAGAGTTAACATTTGCAAATACAAACAGCGAAGAGGTCTGTTTCATAGCTCCAACAGACCGGGTATGAATCACAGTGTGGTCTCTACTCAAAGAGTTAACAGTGGCAAATACAAACAGCGAAGAGTTAAACAATGACAACAGAGTGGCTTTCAGATGTTCATCTACTGTTTCATAGCTCCAACAGGCCGGGTATGAATTACAGTGTGGTCTCTACCCAAAGAGTTAACAGTGGTAAACAGAGACAGTGAAGAGTTAAACAATGACAGCAGAGTGGCTTTCAGATGTTCATCTACTGTTTCATAGCTCCAACAGGCCGGGTATGAATCACAGTGCGGGTTTGTACAAAATGAAACACCCTGAGCGCGGTAATCTAACCTCTGACACTAGGGTAGTGAGTCAGGTGTCTAAAAAATTATAATAGCCTGAGTGTACACAGATGTTGGAAAATCTCAACAGCAGACCCAGTGTGTTTGCCCTTTGATTAATTTTGACAGCACTTATTTCTCGCCATCATCATCCTCTGTTTTCAATAACACCAACAACATAACTACCGCAACCACTACTACTACCACTAGTACTACTACTACTACTACTACTACTACTACTACTACTACTAGCACTACTACTGCTAGCACTAATACTACCGAAAATAATAACAGCTACAGCATGGCGGCAAAATGATTTTACTTGTGAATATACTTTTTTCCCAAATAGTTTTTCCCATCCAAGATTACAGTCTGTACGATTAACATCCACCAGGCGACCCAGGGTCCACTGGGAAGACAACATCCGACAGTGGACTGTAATGGAACAAAGCCAGAAACAAAACTGCTGATAGACAAGTCTGGCAATCTCTGGCAAACCTCTACACCCCAAGGAAGAAGAGGAACGAGGACATTTCAGGGATGAGACTCAAACATGCACAGATCGCGGGAAACCATGTTCGTATAGCTACATGGCACAGTTATATAGGGGCACCACAAAATTGTTAGGAAGTAATCTCTAGTTATTCGACAGGCTGCCCGCAGGCCCAATCTGGCCCATAGAGACCTTATTTTGTTTTTCAATTATAAATAAAATATTTTTAAATCTAGCCGAGTGGTAAATACTCATAATGAAGACGACCTTCCCCCATCCTTCCCCCCCCCCCCCCCCCCCCCCCCCCCCCCCCCCCCCACCACCCCCCCCCCCCCTTTCTGAGTAACAGCTTTCCCCCCCCTCCCACCCACCCCCCCCCCCACCCCCCGCGCGATTCTAGTAGTAGTTTTATAGTTTCAGTTTAAAAAATTCTATGTATAGAGCTTCTTCAAACATTCTTTCTTTAGTAAATCAGTTCGAGTAAAGTTCTCTGTGTAGAGCTCCTCCGCACATTCTTTATTCATTCAGTTTTGGCAAAGTTTAAAGTGAAAGCTCTCTCGCACATTCTAAAGTAGTTCAGTTTTAAAGTTCTATGCGTAGAGCTTCCTCGCACATTCTAAAGTAGTTCAGTTTTAAAGTTCTATGCGTAGAGCTCTCTCGCACATTCTAAAGTAGTTCAGTTTTAAAGTTCTATGCGTAGAGCTTCCTCTCACATTCTAAAGTAGTTCAGTTTTAAAGTTCTATGCGTAGAGCTTCCTCGCACATTCTAAAGTAGTTCAGTTTTAAAGTTCTATGCGTAGAGCTTCCTCGCACATTCTAAAGTAGTTCAGTTTTAAAGTTCTATGCGTAGAGCTCTCTCGCACATTCTAAAGTAATTCAGTTTTAAAGTTCTATGAGTAGAGCTTCCTCGCACATTCTAAAGTAATTCAGTTTTAAAGTTCTATGAGTAGAGCTCTCTCGCACATTTTAAAGTAATTCGGTTTTAAAGGTATGTGTGTAGAACTCCAACGCACATTCTATAGTAGTTCAGTTTTAATTAAAGTTCTCTGTGTAGAGCTCCTTCACATATTCTATAGTAATTCAGTTTTGGCAAAGTTCTCTGTGCAGAGCTCTCTCGCACAATCTAAAGTAGTTCAGTTTTGATAAAGTTCTCTGTGTAAGGCACATCTTTAGTAATTAGGTTTCCGCTAAGTTCTGAATGGGTAATACCGAAAGTGAATACAGTTTTGGGTGGTTCTTCGCCCACCGCCATCTCGTGTGTGTACACGTTGCTACACATTCTATAGTATTTCTTCTTATTTTCCTTCTTCTGCCCTTTATCTCCCAATGGAGCATAGGCCCTCAACCAACTCACGTCACGTCGTCCTAATCCTTAACTATTCGCATGCAGCGCACCCCCCTCCACCCCACCCCTTAAGTTCCCCTCCCCTTTGTTCACCTTTACTTTCTAGTTCCCTTTTCCGTGTTGTTGTTTTTTTTTTTTTTTTTGGGGGGGGGGGGGTCTTATTTCTGTGCCCGTGTGGGTTCCAGTTTAATACCCTTCTAGTTATACTGTTCTCATGTTTTATCAATGTGTGTCCTATCCAATGCCAGCGTTCTGTTCCTCGCCTCTTGATTCAATACAGTGGTGATTTTATCACACCATTTAATTCTATTTGTTCTGAGCAGGCACCAGTTAACTAAGGTATGTAGTTTATTAGTAACTGTTTTAGTTGTTATCCATGTTTCCGCTCCATGCAGCAGTATTAATTTGAGATTAAAGTTCACAATTAAAATAAAGTATCATGTGTACAGTGAGCCGCCGTGTTGTAGTGGCTAGACGATCGTCTGCGGATCGGGAGGTCCTGGGTTCAAACATGTCCCTGGCTCCCAGGTCGACCCAGCCTTAAATGTGTACAAGGTAAGTCCTAAGAGGTGAAGGCGGTCGGCGTGATGCTGACTACATCAGCCACCAAGTAGCGATTGGTCAATAAAACATAGGTCTAGCCCTAAATGCCCATACGTTTGAAGGAAGGTTATAATTGGCCTGGAGAGAATGAGGCTCCTGGGTGTGACCAGAGGGTCTGGCCGGTTCTCTACACTCAAAAGGAAAGATAAGACGAACATATAACCAGATTGTGACCGGTACCATCAGTAATAGGACTCTGCGCTGGCTGCTGAAGATGAGGACGGAGCATGCGTGGAAATACCCCGAGTGCTGTAATGTCAATTCTTGACTCGACTCAACTCAAGCTTAAAGGCTAAGAAAAGGGTCCTTTACCTTACAACCCTGTGCAAAGCTCCCCACCTATTAATAAACGTGTACTCTTATCTAAAACATTTAACAGCCTAGTATATCTACCACCAATCCCAGAAGCCATCCTGTTACGTTCCGTTCCGTTATGCAATAAGGTTGTGTATCTCTTCCACTGGTTGGGAATCAACACATGTGTCAAAGGTGCGCGCGCCGCCACAACGCCTTCTGCTAGCCGATTTGACATATACAGGTAGCTGTTCCTTTCTTATCCCTTCTTTTCTAGTCCCGCTTTACTCCCTACCTTGGATCCAACTACGTTCACCTGTACTCCTGCTATAATCCGTTGCAGAAGTCGTGACCAACTTGAAAAATCTGTAACTCAATAACTTCTGCTTCTTCGCGTTTATCGGCTGTCGGAAAGTTCTGGTTGTTCTTTCACTCCTGGACTGCAGTCCTGCTCCAGAACCTGAGTTGCGTGTGTATCAGTTTTACAGATCTGATTCACTGGAATGCAGACTGTTGGTTCCTTCAGATGCACTACGACTTCAAAGGAATCTCCCAATTAGTTGACATGCTTTTGGGTAGGCAGTGGGTCTATTCTTGTTTCCCCCACAATGGGACCCCGGAACCCCCACGGGGATAACTCAGTAACCTTTCGGGATGGATAAATTGTCGAATTCGACATAAAACTTGTTAATAATCATATCCTTGCAGGAATTTTAATGTAAACTAGCATAGAGTTTTTATCACGTCTTATTTGTGGTATATGAAAAAAAAAACAGACACGGATTCAACGCAAACAATCAGCACGATTATAGTTAACTGAGTAACGGAAACTTTTCCTATATCAAACTGCACGCGTATCATAGGCGATTCATTCAGCTGGTCATCCCCAGCGTTCGTCTCCTGTGATAAACACATTTTAAACCGCCCGCTGGATAGGCTATACAATAATCAGCGTGGATCGCTGCACATGTGAACTGATATCCAAACAATCCCCACGCACGTGTCACCTTCTGTATATTCAATTTTGTCCAGGGGGTACACACATTATTAGTAAAATTAAAGATCAGAAAAACTCGCCGCCTTAAGAAAATAGCAGCACCCGTGCCCTTGCACATGATAAAATTATAAGGACGTAGAAAATCTAAGATCTTCTTCTTCTTTTTCTTCAGCATTCCGAGCCCTTGATGTTTATTGCTGCAGATATTACTCGCTCTATTAATCTCTCTGGTAGGCCTTCTCTTTCCAGTTGGTGGCACCAAGTGTTTGCAGGTCTGTCTGGACATTATCTCTCCATCGTCTTCTTGGTCTGCTGATAAATTTTAAAATTTTCTAAGATCACATGCAAACATTCGTGTTGATCTGTATAGGAGTTTTTGAGATATCTGTTAAAATGTGAAGGTACGACTTTTGAAACGTACTATAGGGCGGCTTATTTATTGCCCCAGGCAGCTGGATACCTGTATAAATATTTACACCGTGTCAGGCACTTCAGTTCCTAATACTCAAGATTACAACAGCCGGGATTTCTTCGGTTGGTTAACATTTGATCACCCTGAATATATGATTTATGAACTGGGTTACCTTCACAACACTCCGGGCACGTCCATATGTGCTCAGATTCCCCTTTTAACATATTTTTTTTCATATTCAAAAACTATGAGTTGTTAAACCTTTTGGCTCGGTATTATGGATATCGCAATCCTTCTAACTTGATTCTATGATAGATGCTGTTAATCTGGGAGAAATGTGGCTTTTCTGCCTACCCCCAGAACGAAAATCCGGACCACAAGGAGTTCCTCAACCGGTCGCCGCGCAGTGAGGTTTAACTAACTGAGCCAGCGAGCCTCTTCAATATATATGAGTGTCCTGCGGTTAATATTCTTAAGTCGTATCCTGGTTTTTAAAAAAAAAAGACTTACTGTGTCCAATGAGCCTCTCATGCCTGGCTGTGTGGATCTTTACTCCCAATTCTCGCATTCTTAGCAGTGATGTGGACACGA